GATTTTTTTATTACAAGAAAATATAATAAATAGAAGAATATAAATATAATTGTAAAGCGTGTATTATGAATTCTAGGTGATAGAAGTGCCCCCTTGCAATATATTGAAGATGCTAAAAATCTCATCATGCATTATCCAAAAACGCACTTATACACTGGTAAAAATACATGATTGACGAATAGGAAAAACGATAAGGCTATGTCTACAGTGGCCAAACAATTATTTACGTATTTTTTCTCGTATATGAGAAAACACGTTTGGACGTATGTACAAATGTGTCGTCAAAAATACAAAGATTTATAATTGTGTAAACTATTAAAAATATCTTAGTCTTTTAAAAATTATTAACCTCATCTGACGGAAAAGCATCGTAAATAATTGTAAAAAGAAAAGCCACGGTACGTTTGGTAAGTAAAATGAATGACAGTTATTTATTTGCCAAAGTGACCAAAATGCATTGCACATAAATAACGTATACGCGTACTATGAAGTAATCGTAAGAAAAATAAATCTAAATTCGTTCTTCACTTAGAAATATAAAATCTGGACTTACCTTATTCTTAATACATAATTTTTGTTATTATTTAAATTATTTGTATAAGAATTGCCAAGAAAATGCTTAAGTTGCCAATTTGCAAGATTTTAAGGTGCAAAAGTCAGTATTTTTTTCGATAATTTACATAAAATTATGGTTATGCGCATGCGCAGTATAAAAATTATAGAAAAAATACTGGCTTTTGCGAGATATCGAAGGTCGTGATAGAGCCCCAGGGGTCTGATCGGGGCATTCGATATCTCGCAAAAGTAAGCATTATTTTCGACAATCCCTATAAAATAATCAAAAATAACGATAATGCGCATGCGTAGTTTAGGGATTATCGATTATCGAAAAAACTGCTTACTTAATACTAAGTATACGTATGTGATATAGAATGAGGGATATTCTGCCGTGTGGCAGCGCTCGTGAGGGCATGGGGGTAAAAAGCGCCAAAGTCAAACTAAATTAAATTTCTAAATTTTTACATATAAGAGACAGATACAGAGTATGAAAAAAGACTGCAATATACAAAAATAATTTTTAAAAAATAGTTATAATCGTTCTATTCACATATATAGCAAGAGTTCGCACATGTAAATATAACCTACTCATTAGATGAAGTACCAGTAATTTGTTAAATATTCAATACAAGTTATGTGAGCTTTTTGATGCTTCTTTCACCGTCCCCCATTTTTCATAATTTTTATCATTACACAATGGATAACTGTAGTAGTAAAAACTACGGAAAATGGACCAATAAACAATTAATTTTGGAGCTGAAAAAAAGAAGTGCAAAGACAACTGGGAAGAAGGCTGATTTAGTGCAAAGGTTTGCCGCGTATTTAATGTTTATGAAAGATGATGGTTCATCATTATAAATTTTTTATAGGCTCATTGATTACGACAAAATATGTATTAAGGCTACACCTGAAATTGAAGAAGAATATACATTAATTACCCCTGATCCTAAAAACTACAGAGACTTGAATGCCAATAAACCGTTTAACTTTTGCATTCTTTTTTTCTCTTCCTTTATTTTTTCTTTTTCACTGTAAAATGGTACTGCTGTGGGCTTTAAACATTTTTTTATTGTACCATTGCCTGCAATTAAAATGCATCATCAAGATTATGATTTTTCTATTTTTTAATTATACTCTTACTTGTAGCAATAACATCAAAATCATCAGAACTAAAATGTGAGCTGCAAATTATACTCCATTTGCCTGGCGTCCAATACAAAAATTTAAGCTGCTTCATCCAAACTTTCAGTTTATTTTCATT